CATATCAAACAGTTCATCGAGTGCCGTCAGAGTCAAGGAAAATAAAAATATATCAGTCATTCGCACATATAGACAAGGGCACGCAGCAGTGGTCATTTACTTTTTCTTATGCCTACTATAATTATTACGTTACTGTAACAACGTTATGTGTGTTACACAGTCATCAAAGTACCAATAGTATCTGGATACAATGGAAGGATAATCCATGTTAAGTATCAAGCATGATGTGTGATTTAGAAGTGAGCTGAAAGGCCAGGTACTTCTCGTATAACCGGAGTAGGCACTAAATCATCCAAGTGGATCACGTACTTGGTAATCTACAGACCAATAACCTTCAAAGTTAGTTCCGCTTTGCCAATAACAGTTGAAATCCCACAAGGCTTGATTCCAAGGTCAGTTGATGATTATCGCTCATCGATAGCTTAAGTTATACTTAAGAACCACATAATCTACTATATTCAGATGATCTCAGTAAGATACGGGGTCTTGCCGACACATTTACTTTTCAAGAATCATTGAATAAGGTGCACAGCTAAGTCATCGATCATCCCCTTCCTATCGATACTAGCTAATGCAAAATGCTAATAGTTAACTTTTTGGAGTCTTTCAAGTGTCTCAGTTTTCACCAATGTAAAGGGATTTGGCATAGTCCTAAGCGGTACCCTCGGTATCTCTTCTCACTAGGATTCGGTAGCCAACAAAGTGCAGTCCTTCTAGATATTTCTCTCTATGGCTTTATGTAGCCGGACTTCATAACAACTATAAACTGTTTTAAGTGCATAATTCGGACTGTTAAGTTATGTTCTCCTTTTAGAATAAATTTAAAAAGTAGAAACATACAATTTACTCGATCTGTAAAAAAACCACTCATCGCTCCTTGGGGTTCTGAACTTGCAACCCAGGAAGTAAAGAAGGATTAAGGGGAGGTCACAGTGATTTATAATATAACTCATAATACACTTCATCACGGCAGAGTACTTGAATGTCTAATTTATACTCATGAAAACATCTATTTATGATAAGAGCCTCATGAACATTCATGTTAACTTATTAATGATCAGAACCAGTGTGATATGAAAATCTATACAGACAGCAATGTTGACAGGATCTCGAAGGAAGACTTGAACTTTACTCTAGTTCTCTAGTTGTTGCAGGGGTTCACTTCAGTGAGAGATTTCAGATTTCAGATTTCTGTAGTTAGGACAGAGGGCCTACGGTTTGTGCTATTCCTTTTCTAGTATGCTTCTGTGAGTGTCCAGTCTTCTCTTGAATGAGTCAGTTGAAGGTGCGGACAACACTTCTTCGGGCAGCAGCTCCCAAGTATTGATGACTCAGCCTAAAAACCTGTATTCCACTGGTGTTTTGTTCGTTCTTGGCTTTTCCACTCGCCTGCTATGTCCTCTTAAATGTCCCGATCTAGTGGGAAGAATAAGGGAGAATATGTTAGGTCCGAAATCGTTTATTGGTATTTTATACATCAAAATTAGATCACCCCTTAGTCTGTGATAGGACAGAGAAAAGAGGTCCAGCTTTTCAAGCCGTTTATTGTATGGAGTTCTGGAATTGTAGATGCCCTCTGTACTTTTTACAAGATGTTCGAGTTACCTTTTAATCAGGGGCTTGCAGCCTGAACGCAGTTCTCAAGATTAGTTCTCACTAAGGTTGTGTATGCTGTAGCGAACATGTTAGTATCTAACTTACTGAATGTCCGTTTAAAACCCAGAGCGTTATAAACCCCTTAGCTGCGACCTACCGGCAATGGGCCGCCGTCTTAAGATTGTGAGACCGAATCACAGGTACAGGCACTTCCTTCTATTAATCTTTTTATCCCCAAAGTGCATGTACAAGTACTTTGCCAGGGTTGATAGACACCAGTTAATCACATTATTTAAATCTGTCTGGAGTGCGCGTGTGTCTTCATCTCCCGTCATTTCTCGCCAGATTTTTACATCGTCAGCATATCATAACATTTGGGACTCAACAATACTTGGGAGATCATTTACATACAGTGTTAAAAGTAAAAGACGTGGGACAGAACGTTAAGGTACTATACTAAGTCCTGGTCTCCAGGTGGAACACTTGTAATTTATTCCTACATTTTGTTTACGACCTACTAAGAAATCCTTAAGCCATTTTAATAGAGGTCCGGAAATACCAAGATTTTCTAGCTTTAAAAACAGTCTTTTGGCATCTTGTCAAATGCTTTGATGAAATATATGCAGAAAACATCCACTGAGTTTCCATTGCTAGGTAAACCTTTTATATCCAGGCGAAGATTAGATCACGAGTAACTTCTGTGACATATTAATTGACTAATATTATCTATGCATTCTTATGGTATAACAATTCAATAGTTAGATTAGGTATATTTATATTCCTCTTATTATAAGCTTTATTTTCACCTATAATTTATTGTTTTATGATTTACTGTTCCTTAGATATGTTCAGTTTATTGACTACTGCCTCTCACATTCACAGTCACTTTTTGGCTTTATTGTGTACAAATGTTATATCCTGTTTTATGGTGTGTTGCGGTCTGTTTGGTTGATATACAAACCCAATATGTCTGAAATAAATGATTCGATTCGATTCGCATAGTGGAAGCTGGTATTGGTGTTCTGGACTCAAGTAGACGGGCTAGGCGGACATAGGAACAATAAGAACACTAAGCTTCTCATACCGGTCGAACATCATTGGTTTGGCACGGTGCTAAGTTTGCATAAGTCGTATTTTAATTGGTGGATAAAGCACGTGATAAAAAGCCGGACATAAAGTCATGACAAAATCCTTTCTGAAACCATGTGTTCGCTGTCTCACAGGTTATTGGCTTCTACAAATGTCATTATAGTCTGCTTGACTGTTCTTTCCAATATTTTAACCATAACACTGATGAGGTTGGCAGGTCTTTAGTTCGATGGAAGTTGCCTTGGTCCTGTTTTATGTATGGGAGTGATGATTGAATCCTTCCAGTCTTGACTTTGTATTTGGGTCTGGTTCATTGTCTAGAAGAGGTTCCTGAGTGAAAACTGCCCCAAAATACTTAGCCATATTCTCTGCTTCTTCCTGATCTTCCTCTATCATTTCAGATCCACTCTCTCCTTTAATTAGGTTGGGAATCCAATGCTGCATCCTTGTTCAGTAATTTGTGCACGAGAATAATCTTTTAGGCTGCTTGAGTGCAGATTGTGCCAGCTGCATTTCAAATTTTCTCTGAGCTTCACGAATTTTTGTCATACACTTGTTTCTTACGGATCTGTAGCGTTCCATCGTATCTTCTGTGCCAAGGTGGATGGCAACATCCCAACATTTCTTCTTTTGTCTTATTAAACGTCGAATATCCCGGCCTATCCAGGGATGGCCGTACTCCTTTTTCTTTGGAACTGTCCAGGGTATGTATGGTTGAGTTACCCGATTGTATAACTACATGAAATGAGTCTATGCCTCTTGTACTGATACCCTTTAGTCAATTTCCCAGTCTTCAGCAGATGCTATGAAGTTTGTTGCCTCCATGTTAGGACGGACCGGCGTAACTGTTTGACAGGCCATGTCAGCGATGAACTTGAATAAGATGACTGCATGATCGCATCTCTCCAGAGGTGGGAGGAGAGTCGTTTGGCCGACATCATCACCGTGTGTGAAGACTAAATACAAGAGAGACGAGGAGCTTCGTAAGTCATATCTGATGGGACCTCTAGTGTGTTGTAATAAAGCTAATCCAATCGAGGTTTCTAACAGTTTACAACCGAACGACCTTATCGATGACCCTAATTCTAAGTTAACCCAGTTTATATACGGTGCATTAAAGTTACCTACTATAAGGGTTTTACCCCTATTACACCAGGACCTAAGTTTGCTTAGGAGGAATTCACCTAATACACATTCTGGAATGTGATATGCCACAACTAATTCAGTATATTGTCGTCTACATTTAAACTTGAAACGCACCAGTTTACATGTCCCTGAATCATGTGCTACTGTCTCAACTACGTTCCACTGATTTGTTTTACCTTTAAATCCCTGAATGAAAATAATACGGAGCATGCTTTAACATTACTATCACGCTCTCCCACAGCCGCAAAATAGACAAATAGTTCATTAATTTTCTCAATCACAGTTTGAGGGCTTGGAGTTTGAAGTATGATAGGCGCATTTAGTAAAGCGTGCGTTCCATCATGCTCGTAATGTGTTAGCCAAGGGTTAAACCCATAATATATTATGATCTAATGAGGGTAAGTGTAGTGGGTTTTTTGCCAAAATTTTACATAGTCTGAAATTTAGCGTTTTTAACCCTAATTGTATTATAGTCATGATGGCGCACATTACCCAAGCAACAATAGGGAAGTGACATTCACTACAGATACTCAATGTGAATTTTAAGCTGAAATCGACAGAACTGTCACTTGTTTTGTTTGACTTCGGTAAACAGTTATGTCCGTTACAATTTTTTTGATGATACTCCTAAGCTGCCAGCTTTGTTTTTTGGATATTTTGAGTAGATTTTGCTAAATATTCTTCATATATGTGAATTTTGGGTATTTTCGGCAAGGTTTTCCCAAAATTTATCAAGACGTTATCTGGGATGTATCTTTTATTCACGCTGTACGGTGGGGAGCCGCGAACGTCTTGAAATCCGTGTACGTATTTTCTATGTTTGTTGACTTTATCAACCATACCTAACTGCTCTCCACTTTTTCATCTTATTTTCAGATTTGACAATACTGTTTGTTGTTATGTCAACCAATCAACTTTCAATTAGTCGAAAAACGTGCTGAAAAAACTTTTAAATCAAACCGATATCAGTCATATTAAATACAAACAGACCATCTTTTATGCCTATCAAATACTGAAGTCTCCTGTCCTTTTTTAAAGTCATATGGTTTATCACTTTAACAATCATTTTAATGTATTAGCGAGCACTTTAAGCTGCGCAAAAGGTCACTGTTTAATACTAGTATTATTTCTCCTGACTTGTTTTAAACATCTGTTCGAATCCAGTCTATTTCTAGTGTAGTTGTCCAATGACATGTTTTTAATTTGTTTGAGGCATATGACTTATCAATTTTAACAATTGGTCATTAGTTAATTTTAAATTAGTCACTGCCTAATTTTTTCTGCAATAAACTCTGAATGTATACTCTGATTGTATTATTTTATTTATATTTACTTGAAGGTATACCATATGGTGTTCAATCACGATTTCTACCTCTTATATTTCGCAATAAAGGTCTCTCACTTACTTCATTAGGTCTACATAAACTCCTTCATATTCCTTGGCTACTTAAAAGCTTTTATGCTCCGGTAATTGACAGACATGTGAACAAAAGAGTGTGGTTATTTATCACTTTCAGTGGTTTGTTTTTTTGCACAGTCTTATTACTTCACGAATGTGAACAATTGGTCAGTGGAAACAATTATTTCATGTTCACTATTTCTTCTTGTCTTTTTATGTATAATTTTTGGGCAGCTTCACAAGACATTACTGTTGATTCACTGACCTTGTCCACCTTAACATCGAGTCAAATCTCTTTAGGGAATACTATACAAGTTGTTGGCTACAAATGTGGAGCTATTATTGGCGGTGGATTTCTTGCTTGGTTATCAGCTTTTGTAGAAATCAGTTATCTTTTCATATCACTTAGTTGCTTATATGCTAGTGGGATGTGCTTTTGTTTGATCGGAAAGTATTGGAAATTTTGTAATGTAAAACAATTTCACGAAAAAACGTATATTCAAGTAAATGGTAAGGTTAAATTGATAAACTGCGCTGTGATTTGTATTTTTACAACGCTTTCGCATACTATTATTTTGTTTTTCATAGGAATTTTCGTCTAGATATAAACGAATAGTTTCACAGTAGATGAGTTCCGAGTTAATATCAAATATTAAGGAGGAAATTATATTTGTAAAACTCGGCGGTTCAACTTTAAGTAAATCCAACGTTTCGCACGGGGATCTGGTTTTAATTTTTATGTTATGCGAAACTTAATAAAGTGATGTACTCTTCAGACCTAATTCTTTCAATGCAGTTCATTTTTAGATAGACCAATACTTCCATCTTTAAAGGACATTATCAGTGCAAGGGGTAGTGATCATTACCCAGCTGCCTAACTTAAGGCAAGCGGAACAAGGTCAGAATCTTGGACCTTCTAGTTAAATGCTAGGTGGTTTAACCACTAATTAGGTATGTCTTACTCAACTAAGCTATATTTACGCCAAATACGTAAATTGCTTCCACTGCTCTTGATATCCGGAAAGACAATCAAATAATGAGGCAGCACTAGTCGATTGGATCCCCATTAACCGTCGGTTATGTGCTGTTAGATTAGAAAGTTCCATCAAAGTGAGAAGAAATCGGCGTGAGAAACGATGTCTTTTCGCCATCTCCGCCTATGCCTAGACAGATTGCAGCCCGGATGCAATCAAGGATGAGTTTTACCACCAGTTATCTGTTCTTCTCCAGAAAGTGCGTTCGACAGATATTGTGGTACTAGCCGGAGACTTGAATGCTCAGGTCGGGCGTCTAGGCACAGAAGAGAGTCGTTTAGGTGGCCGATGGGGACTCGTTGGTCGCAGGCCAGATAACAGGGACCGTCTACTGCAACTTTGCACAGACCACAACCTGTTTCTGGCTAGCACTAACTTTCGGCACAGTCATCGCCGATGTGCCACCTGGCGTCCTCCCTCTGCATCCCAAGCCTGGACTCAGATTGATCACATCGCGATCAGCTACCGCTGGCGTGGTTGTGTACAAGACTGCCGCTCCTTTTCGAGTACCTATCTGGACTCTGACCATGCCTTGGTCTGCGCCAATCTTGCCTTACTTTTCAGTGGCCAACGAAGTGACCGCCATCAACGGATTGATATTAGCAAGCTGGTTGCAACTTCTGTTGCAAGTAAGTATCGAACCGAGCTAGCCTCTAGGCTAGCTACCATTCCACCGAAAAGTATAGATGAGCATTGGTTGCAATTGCATGACGCCATGAAAATGGCGGGTACAGTCAGTTGTGGGTTCGCGAAACGTCCCGCTTATAAGCACTGGGTTTCTGCAGGTTCCTTACAACTCATTGAAGCCCGTCGGTCTACTCCGGGTGACCGTGAGTTTGACCACAAACGAAGGATGTTATGTAAGGAAATTGGGCAAAACTTGCGTAAGGACCGAGAAGCCTGGTGGTCGAAGCGTGCTAATGAGCTGGAAGCAGCAGCTGCATCTGGTAACTACCGGAAGCTCTTCCAACTCATCCGAGCCACTGGCAGCAAGAAGTCTGGTGTGAGTGAAACAATCTGCGAGGATGATGGGATGCCAACCACTAACATCCATCGACGTCTTGGACGATGGGCAGAGTTTTTTGAAGGGCAGTTCGACTGGCCTGCTGCTCCGGCAACATCGGTCAGACTGTCCTGCCCTCCATGGCCGGTGACGACTGATCCACCAAACGAGGAGGAAGTCCGCAAGGAACTCCAACTCTTGAAGCGTTACAAATCACCTGGCCCAGATGACTTACCTCCGGCTCTTTTTAAAGATGGTGGTGACTTTTTGACTAAGGAATTGGCGACGTTGTTTACAAAGGTTTGGCAACTAGAGAGTGTACCAACGTCATGGAATGAGTCGATAGTTGTCTCTATCTTTAAAAAGGGTTCACGTCGTTCCTGTAACAACTATCGGGGGATAAGTCTACTTCCGATTGCGTCCAAGCTATTGGCTTCCGTCATACTTCGTAGGTTGTTCAAAACCCGAGAAAGATTGACTCGCGAGGAGCAGGCTGGGTTTCGTTCTGGTCGAGGATGTATTGATCATATCTTCACCCTCCGCCGAATGTTAGAACACCGCCATACTTTTCAAAGGCCAACAATCGTAGTGTTTCTTGACATCAGGGCTGCCTTCGATTCGTTCGATAGGACTGTTCTCTGGGATTGTCTATTGGAGAAGGGTGTGCCTGAGAAGTTTATTAACATCCTAAAAGCCCTATATACAAACACCTCAGGCAGAGTGAGTGCATACAACCACCTCTCTCCATTGTTCCATTTGAGCAGTGGGGCTAGGCAGGGTTGCCCAATCTCACCATTCCTCTTCAACTTTGCCATCGATGACATTCTGGAAACAGCTCTGATGAATGTAAGTAATGGTGGTGTGGATCTGTTGCCTGGAGAAAGACTTCTCGACCTTGAGTATGCGGACGATATTGTCTTACTGTTCGATAATGCCCAAGACATGCAATCCGCACTTAATCAGTTGGCAATCAGTGTCCGTAGGTATGGTATGTGCTTTGCACCTTCGAATTGCAAACTACTTCTACAAGACTGGCAGGATTCCAATCCTGTACTCACCCTGGATGGTGAGCAGATAGACGTAGTCGAGAAGTTCGTGTATCTGGGTAGCTGCATAAGTGCTGGTGGGGGTGTGAGTGATGAGATCAATGCACGAATAGTGAAAGCCAGAGCGGTTTATGCCAATCTGGGCCACCTTTGGCGCCTTCGTGATGTTAGTCTGTCTGTTAAAGATCGGATCTACAACGCGTCGGTGAGAGCAGTTTTGCTCTATGCTTGTGAAACCTGGTCTCTCTGAGTTGGGGACGTTAGACGACTCTCTGTGTTCGATCATCGCTGTCTCCAAAGGATTACTGACATCCAGTGGCAACACCAGGTCAGTAATGAAGAGGTTCGGCATCGTGTGTTCGGACACAGAGACGATAATCCGATTGGTGTCACCACCTTGAAACACCAACTTCGGTGACTTGGACATGTTCTCCGAATGTCGTCCCAGAGAATTCCACGTCGTGCATTATTTGCCGACTCTGGGACTGGTTGGAAGAAGCGGAGAGGTGGTCAGTGCATGACATGGTGTCGTGGTATGAAAGAATGCTGCAAAGGACTGGCTTGTGTTGGTCCTTCACGACTCCCTGGTTGGGGTCTGAGAGATGGTGCTACACAGTGGCTAGAGACGTTATCAGATATGGCTCAGAATAGAAGCCAGTGGCGATCCTGCTGTAACCTTCTTTTACTTTCTTCATAAAAAGTGGTTGTGTCTCCCTTACCTGAAAGATTTCTTCCGATTTTACCTTTGCGTTCCCTCATTACTACCACGCTACCTTACACCAATCTCTTCGTTATTGTTCTTTTTTTCTATTTCTCTTCGAATTCTCATTGTTTTGTGTGGCGCATATATATTGGCGCTCTCTTGTACCAATATTCATGTGTTCAAATAAATAAAATAATCTGATCTAGAACAAAGCAAGGATTTCATGCATTTGGGCCACTGTGACCGATTTAAATTATCAGTCATTTATATGCGACTAAGAACCTGGCACAAATGCGAATCGGTTCAATTTTCCGGATCACATTAGCACGCTGAGATGAAATTGTCAAAGCAAATCCCGGAATGGCAAAAATAGTAGTGGTCATAGAAAAGGTTAAGCATGTAAGATATGGATTCATGTAAAAAAATCATAAGATAATTTGAAAACTTAGGATTTAGGGGAAGACAGAATGAATGCGCCTATGTCATTACGAACAATTGAGAGCTATGTTACCTAGTCTCTAACCAGTTTTTGCGATTCTGAGACATATTATCCAACTTTTTCCACCATTGATCGCGCAGACCCAAACCAAGTAGTCCTCATTTACCAACATGCCTTAGGCCACTAGTCAATGACCTCATGAACTAACGTTACATTTCGGCTTAGAAGATACTAGCTTTCTCCTAGCTAATTCATACACCAGCTAACATTAAACATTAAGGTAGGTGGTGATTAGGCGTACGTACCACATATCCTAAGCACCCCAGTTGATGAAGTTCCACAACCTCACCAATCAATTCGCCTAACACCTTATGCACAGTATTGTTGATAACGATAAACTAAACATTCGAAAACATATTTTAGAAGAAACGAATAAAATCAAGGGATGAAACCGCATAAATATCAAAACTCAAGATTTGAAGATCAAAAACGAATGCGCCTACGGGAATTCGATTGGTTTTAAGAGATATCATTTAAAGTCTCTTAGCATAGATTAAGAGATGGTTGTATGCACTCACTCTGCCTGAGGTGTTTGTATATAGGGCTTTTAGGATGTTAATAAACTTCTCAGGCACACCCTTCTCCAATAGACAATCCCAGAGAACAGTCCTATCGAACGAATCGAAGGCAGCCCTGATGTCAAGAAACACTACGATTGTTGGCCTTTGAAAAGTATGGCGGTGTTCTAACATTCGGCGGAGGGTGAAGATATGATCAATACATCCTCGACCAGAACGAAACCCAGCCTGCTCCTCGCGAGTCAATCTTTCTCGGGTTTTGAACAACCTACGAAGTATGACGGAAGCCAATAGCTTGGACGCAATCGGAAGTAGACTTATCCCCCGATAGTTGTTACAGGAACGACGTGAACCCTTTTTAAAGATAGAGACAACTATCGACTCATTCCATGACGTTGGTACACTCTCTAGTTGCCAAACCTTTGTAAACAACGTCGCCAATTCCTTAGTCAAAAAGTCACCACCATCTTTAAAAAGAGCCGGAGGTAAGTCATCTGGGCCAGGTGATTTGTAACGCTTCAAGAGTTGGAGTTCCTTGCGGACTTCCTCCTCGTTTGGTGGATCAGTCGTCACCGGCCATGGAGGGCAGGACAGTCTGACCGATGTTGCCGGAGCAGCAGGCCAGTCGAACTGCCCTTCAAAAAACTCTGCCCATCGTCCAAGACGTCGATGGATGTTAGTGGTTGGCATCCCATCATCCTCGCAGATTGTTTCACTCACACCAGACTTCTTGCTGCCAGTGGCTCGGATGAGTTGGAAGAGCTTCCGGTAGTTACCAGATGCAGCTGCTGCTTCCAGCTCATTAGCACGCTTCGACCACCAGGCTTCTCGGTCCTTACGCAAGTTTTGCCCAATTTCCTTACATAACATCCTTCGTTTGTGGTCAAACTCACGGTCACCCGGAGTAGACCGACGGGCTTCAATGAGTTGTAAGGAACCTGCAGAAACCCAGTGCTTATAAGCGGGACGTTTCGCGAACCCACAACTGACTGTACCCGCCATTTTCATGGCGTCATGCAATTGCAACCAATGCTCATCTATACTTTTCGGTGGAATGGTAGCTAGCCTAGAGGCTAGCTCGGTTCGATACTTACTTGCAACAGAAGTTGCAACCAGCTTGCTAATATCAATCCGTTGATGGCGGTCACTTCGTTGGCCACTGAAAAGTAAGGCAAGATTGGCGCAGACCAAGGCATGGTCAGAGTCCAGATAGGTACTCGAAAAGGAGCGGCAGTCTTGTACACAACCACGCCAGCGGTAGCTGATCGCGATGTGATCAATCTGAGTCCAGGCTTGGGATGCAGAGGGAGGACGCCAGGTGGCACATCGGCGATGACTGTGCCGAAAGTTAGTGCTAGCCAGAAACAGGTTGTGGTCTGTGCAAAGTTGCAGTAGACGGTCCCTGTTATCTGGCCTGCGACCAACGAGTCCCCATCGGCCACCTAAACGACTCTCTTCTGTGCCTAGACGCCCGACCTGAGCATTCAAGTCTCCGGCTAGTACCACAATATCTGTCGAACGCACTTTCTGGAGAAGAACAGATAACTGGTGGTAAAACTCATCCTTGATTGCATCCGGGCTGCAATCTGTCTAGGCATAGGCGGAGATGGCGAAAAGACATCGTTTCTCACGCCGATTTCTTCTCACTTTGATGGAACTTTCTAATCTAACAGCACATAACCGACGGTTAATGGGGATCCAATCGATTAGTGCTGCTTCAGCTCTAGCGCTTAGTGCGACACCAACGCCAGCAAGACCAGACGAAAATGCCACAGGGTCCCCGGATAAGCGCACGTCAAACAGGCTTTTTGAAGCGACAGATGGTTATCGAATTTGTAGTGCTTCACCAGGGTCTTGAATACAGGTCTCGGATAGACAGCAGACATCGATATGAAGACTTTTCAAAGACATAGCCAGCCCTATCTGTTGACCAACCTGCATAAGTGTGCGAACGTTGAAGGCATCCAGTTTGAATGGTGCACGTGGTTTCAGAAAAACTGCCTCAGTACTCATATTCGGTGGTAACATACAATTTTCAACCGGACAGTGACTCGAGAACGTTTAGATACAGTCGAATTTCCATCAAAGACGAGCCGCTGTATAAGTATAAAAGAGGGTGAATAATGTGGAAAATAATAATAATAATAATAATGACTAATAGTAATAACAATAATAATAATATTATTATTAATAATGACAATAATAGTAATGATAATAATTTGAATCAATTGATTGTTTTTCGAAGCGAGAAAAGTAGTTTCCATAGACATAGAGAGTTCATCATTTGTGTGTGGGCTGTGATACTTCCCGGGTGCCCAAACCGAAGCAAATCAGAAGTTCCAGTACTCTCATCAGCATACCTTTTCATTCCATTTTTCTGAACCACATTCACAGTCTTTAGTCCTCATTGCCATTACTTACGCCTGTTACTCCCAATGGAGCATAGGCCGCTGACCAGCCTTCTCCAACCCACTCTGTCCTGGGCCTTCAATTCCAATTATGTCTAATTTTTGTTCATTTTTCTCATGTCTGTCTATATTTCTCGGTGTAATATGTTCTTTGATCTTCCTCTTTCCCGTTGGCCTCGAGGATTCCATGTGAGGGCTTGCCATATGACGCTGTTGGGTGCTTTCTTCGATATGTGTCCTGTCCACTTCCATCGCTTCTTCCTCCACTGGAATCTGGCTTGTTCTCTCCCACAGTAGGTTGTTGCTGATAGTGTCTGGCCAAGGGATCCGAAGTATTTTGCGTAGAAAACTGTTAATAAACACTTGTATCTTGTGGATGATGGCTTCCGTAGTTCTCCAAGTTTCCGTCCCATACAGTAGAACTGTGTTGATATTTGTATTGAAAATTGTGACTTTGTTGTTGGTTGATAGTTGTTTTGAGTTACAGATGTTTTTCAGCCTCATTGTCATTGGTACTACATTATTTTGATTCTTCTAACTCATCATGTTAATTTGTATGGGAACTTGGTCCAATGCACATCTTTGTCAGGTTATACATTATGACTGAATGACTGATCTCAAATTGTTTTCGTTTTATCTCGTTTATTGTGCTCAATTAAAGTATGACAAATTGAGCTGACGCATGCAAGATTTAATACTGTTTATGATTAATTGGTGGTAGTAGTCTGTTAGCTTAACGGGTTAAATTCAGAAAGAAGCAGAAAAAAGCACTGGTTTCATAACATACTGAGGATGCCATTATAACATATTTGGGTTAATCACGCTTTACAGACCCTATGCATTTTATAGTTCAATTGATTGAAGTCATAATTTTGCATTGTAATATTATATATCTTTGACTTCTCTTATTTTACGTGATTATTTGACTTTGATTTTGATCAGAGAATGAGAATTCAGACGATGAACAAAATTTAACTATTGTGTCAAAACGATATTCGTACACAAAAGCCTTCAAAATTGCCCTGGGTCATTCAGGTGGTTCACGTTGTCTTATTGTTCTTCTGTTGATTTATAAACTTGGAGAGCAAGGATCTATGAATATGCTACCTTTGATGCTTTTAGATAGAGGATTTTCTCTATCTAAAGTTGGATTTTGGACAGGTGTTGTTGGACAGTTGGCATCTATAATTGGGTCTACATCTGGATACTATATCCAGAAAAAGCTCAGGTTTGTTTAAGCTATCGGAAAAATACTTTCGAATGTTTAAAAAATGTTACGAAAAGACGAAGTTGGTCTAAAATACATGGTATGCTTGACTCACTCCATTTCAAACAGTCTGATCGCACATTTACCAAAGGATTGCATGTGAAAACTAGTGTAGGTCATTTAAGTAAACGGTCAAATAGACAAAATGTTATTAGCAGAAGTATATAACACAAGATGGTCTATTATAATAGTAATAACTGGTCTTCACTTTGTCTTTGGCACTAATATTGATTATGAATTATCAGGTCAGGTTAGAAAGATGAGTGATTTACTTCTGGATACCTAAAGTTAATATTTTCCTTAGATTAGAAGTCATAAACTTGAAAGTGCACCGAATGCAGTTCCTATATAGGGAATTAAAAGCTATCAAAATGTTATTTGTATCACCTATTTCAGTTTCTTGTTTTGCCTTCGTCTATCTGGGATTGAGGGGCTAACGAAATACGAAGCCATTTCCGTCATATCTACCAATTGAATAGGTCGATTACTGTTTCTTACACTTTTAAACCATTGAAATTCATAGAATGTTATTATAGGATGTTATAGAGATCGTTGAATCTAAAGCTTCACATCACAGACTGACTTTTAGGTAGATGACCAATGAAAGCGACGAAGCAATGGTCAGTTGTTTCATTCTAGTGTGGAAATTCTCAACATCACACATCTACAACTTCATCTCCTCAGGTCTCAAGGTGAACACCTAACATTTTGATCACAATTTACATTTCTAACTCCAATCAATTCACGATATGGTGTGACCAACATCCATTGGGATCGGGTTCATTTGTATCACATCCAACTGGTCACGGCTTCTCACTGGGACTCTAGGATTTACATCTCGAAGTTAGTCACCAGCAAACACGTGGTGATTGTTATCATGTATTGGAAATATCGTTAATTTTTGCCTATTCATTTACGTGATATTAACGTCCATGCAAAATACGAGTTTCGTTCTCTTAATGACGATCGATTTGGCAGTTTTATGTCTTTTTCTTGTCTGTTTTCAGACTCCGTTTCAAAATTATGCTGTCCAACTTCATTTTGTACTGTATAGGAAAGGGATTTTGATATTACCTAATTTCTATTTTAGAGTAAAAACTTTTGTAGCTATCTGTTTATTAGTGATGTCTCAATAATATTTACAATCTTTTCCATTTGGCAACAAATAAAAAAACGTTACTTAAGTTAGTTTTTCTTTAAAAAAAGGTCAGAAAATAATGCAGTATTTATATTTTCAGCTTACATGAAGCCAGTAAGGATTAGATAAAACACATGCAGCACATAATTCAGATTTTGAAATCGTTTTCTCCTTAATGCTAAATATTTCAGGCACTTTCTCTCAGGTTTATACACTGGACACTCAAATTATATGTCAGTGATTCAAACCATTTTAACTTATTTGTACATGAACAGTTGAACATTTACACTCCTCCCTCGTTAAATATCACGTTTCAGTGCATGTGACGTAATCCTTTATGTGCATACTTTGTCGTTGAGCATAAGACAGTTGTCGTTCAACGAACGTGTGCTAGTTTAAGAATGATAAAGAGAAATTGTAGTTTCTATTCGATTAGTTTCTCGTCATGGCTCTACATCAAAATAATATATATGTATGATTTGCAACAGTGAAATAATACTCAATAATTATATAATCACACATTGATCATAAAATAATATTGAGTAATAGGGAGAAAGAAGATTATAATAATCAAGGTAATTATTCGAAAAATCAAGCAGTTACTACGTTGCATAATATATAAAAAGAAGGGACTAACATAATATTTTGATGAAAGGTCGGTATTGTAGTAGTTATGTAAGAACCAAGGGATGAATTTTGAGAATATGTAAAATACAAGTGGAAGTAATTAGAAAATAGTTTAAATATTTTTGGAAGAAAGGATTTCATCAAAGTTCAGCTACAGACTCACTCCAATACTGGTGGCCAAGTTATAGAGAGTGGTTGTAAAAACTTTTGAATGTTAAGGCTTGGTTTGTAAACACTGACCCCAGTGGCTTCAGCGTTGTGCAAAAGTTGAACTCGTAAACCAAGTGGTAAATTTGATAGAATATGGTGGATAACCTTAAAAACTTTATTCATGTCAACTTGGTGACCTGTGTCCACCAAATAAGTGAGAATATAACTGAATCACTCATACTCGTCTTTTGTTCAACCAAAACTGATGGTGTTCTGCTATGAGATGACGGATTTGTCAAATTGTACACATTATATAACCGGCTCAAAAGGAGCAGTTGAATTGGTAAATATACATGGATGTGGCGAATTCAAGCAGTCATTCTTAATAAAGGTTCTTATTATGGGGCAGTTGTAGAGCCATGATGAAAAACTAATGGAAAATAAATTTCTCCTCAATTCGTTCTTTTTTTTTATCAAATGTCGAAATGAGCATTCCCACTGAATTTGTAATTCACTTAGTGGGTGTATTTGTTGTTTTTATTTTGTTCTCTGAGTTGAATGATGTAATTGTGTTAGGCTTATATTGATCTTTTTTGATAACATTATCATCAGCTTACAATTTCTTTTTGACACTTTTAGATCTCCACTAACTTCAGTTCTAAGCCTGATGATAATTCGGGCTTGTTTACAATTCCCTCTAACAATGATTGCTTTCAAATCTATTTGGATAAGTGCACCTAACGTTTATTTCTGTAAGTCATTCGATTTATTCATAAAAATTCACTGTTATTTATACCAGTATGTGCAATTTTTTAGGGCTGTATTGTATTTAATTATACTTTTGAACAATGTGAATTAAAAAGGTAAGTTATGTAGTGTGTTGTTTATAACATTACGGAATATCCATTACATTACCGAAGTTTATAAAAGTGATTAGATTTTAACTAAATAATAATTTCAGTGGTTAAGATCATGAGTCAGTTGAAGCTAGACCATCATGGAAAACCTGGAATCACTGAACGGCCGTTTCGTCCTATTGTAGGACTCCTCAGCAGTGCACATCCACGATTTCGTCCCCCGCGAGGTTCGAACCCAGGACCTACTGGTTTCGCGCGCGAGTAGTCTAGTGGTTAGGTAGGTCCTGGGTTCGAATCTCGCAGGGGGCGAAGTCGTGGATGCGCACTGCTGAGGAGTCCCATACTGGGACAAAACGGCCGTCCAGTGCTTCCAGGTTTTCTATGGTAGTCTAGCTTCAATTGACTCATGATCTTAACCATTGACATTACTATAATATCCACAAAACCCCTTTTGATACTAAATAATAATTTTCAAACGGACTAAAACATTATGATAGATTAAAGATCAAAGACATAACTTTACTATGAGAGAGATTTTGATATGATTTCACAGGTAGGTAAATAAAAATCCTTATAAATTCGATTAGAAATCGAATAGAGACAATCATATAATAAATAATTTGATGTCAGATATAAGTAAATGTTTATGTAATGCATTCGTATTCACTTATTATCATATAAAATGCAGAGATTGTTATGACTTGTGAACCGTTAAACATCACGTGATTTATTCGCAAATCAGAATACAACTTATATCATCTTAACGCTGTGCCATAACGACGACATATTGACCAGTATGAGCAGCCTAGTGTCATTATTGATCCCTTTTCCCTCCTAGCCCTGCCTGTTGAGTTCAGAATGCCAATACTAACTTTCACTATACGCATACTCATAGGCATACGCAAAGCAGACCACATCATACCATAAAATAAAAAATAACCATTATACAAGGTCAAAACAAAATGTGGCTGTGATTGTGAGAGACTGTAATTAATAAATTGGGTATAACTTAAGAATAGTAAATCGTATAATAATAGTCTATAGGTCAAAATAAAGTCCATAATAAGAGGAATATGAATATAAATAATCTAGTTAGTAAATAGTTATGCAATAAGAATACACGTATAATATTAGTTCATTAATAGTTCTCAGAAGTTACCCATAATTTAATCTTCGCTAGGCTATAACATAGATATGTAGGCTTGTCTTGTAAATTCAGCAGTATCGAGTGATTTTATTATTTTGGTGTATTTGGCATATGACTGGCAATGGAATCCAGGTTGCATGTTTCGTCCTGGTTGGGACCCATCACCTAGATATACCTTCATCTCTGTGTTAATGCTTACATTGAAACTCGAATCTAGTATCTTTCATTCAATGAATTATTCATTAATCTACTGACTCCACTTATCCACTATAACAGACATGGATGCATTATTGTCGGTTCGTAATTTTTCATTGTTGATATTCAGAATTGAACTATCTGAACACATTAAGTAGCACAGTGGATAATACTTTGAGATTTGAAGGAAAAGGTCATGGATCAAAATCTTATTTTGTGAATATCAACACCGAGATGTAGACAAATCCAGATAGTGATTCCCAAATGGTTATTATTTCTACTCACATGCAAAACATTCTATGGCTTGATACATAATTTTAGTTCAAGGCAGTCCGATCAAGATTCACATATGAGAACAGAGGCTGATCAGTTCTAAATATCAATGAAGAGAATAACATCGTTGTTCTTGCTCTCCTGAAGTTGATAAAGAGAACTATATGTCTAAATAATTAGTATCTTCGTCTAGTTTAAATTTTACTAGAAAGTGTCATTTTCATGATTGAAATCAATCTCCAAGTATTATTCTATTCGACAACCTGCTGTAAATAAGGGATGTAAAACTCGTCCTACATTGACAATGAAAAGAAATCCATTTCTGTAAATACTCTTTATCTACACTATGATATCGTGAATGAATGAATAAAGCTGCTGAGGTTGCCTGGTTCTTTAATGTTGTTATGATGTAGTGACTTATAATTTGTATTACTGTTAACAATAAAATAGACTCATTTATAAGTATCAGCTCACTGTGACTTATTGAACCAGAATGGGAAGCAAAAATCTAGAGCACTGTACTTATCTGTTGTGGTGGTGTTTAGTAAGAATTTTACAATTAATTTCGTTTTTTTTAAAAAAATAAAACCCCTTAGATTCATGACATTTTTAAGTTTAATTACGAGACAGAATTCATTAGTTATCTTTTTTTGTCTCGTTACTGGATATCTAATACTAATCGTGTCTTTCAGTATGGGGTTGTGAAGATTGTTGAATTCTTTAGAAATTACTAGACCATCTAAGTTAAACCACTATTGAAAATCTAGAAGCACTGGATGGCCGTTTTGTCCGAGTAAGGGACTCCTCAGAAGTACATATCCACAATCCCGCATTCAGGAATCAAACCAAGGATTTTTTCGGTTTCGCACACGAATGCTTAACTTCTAGACCACTGATCCATCATGCAACGGTGCTTGTTTTCTGACGTTCTGATTTGTTAATACTTTTAAATCTAATCATGAAGATAATTGATTAGTTTAAGTTTCAATTGGTTCTTCTCATGATTCAAAATAGAAAGTAGCGTTTCAAGAAAGCGTTAACTTTTCATCAGTTTAACGAACATATATTTTATGTAATTCTTATAATAATATTTACTTTCTTATTTTTTTAATTCATTTAGGGATAGGTTGTTCATTTATGAATATTTTACTAGTTGTGAGTGGAGGGATTACAACAATTATGTTCACGTTGATGATGCATTGTACATGTTCTGAATCATCTAAAGCCTATCAAGCAACTCATTATTCTATATTAAGTACAGCAGAATTATTAGGAAAACTTTTATTTGGTACAATAGCCGCATATTTTACAGATGTATTTGGATATGGAGTTGCTTATTTGTGCTTTTTAATTTTATCTATACTTCCAATTCTATATGTTTACAAATGTTCTGGGAAATTTCGATTTTCTCCCTAAATGGTTATTTAACTAGGTAAGTTTGTTTTTTTCAATTCAGTCAAATATTGAATAAAAAATGTTTTACCTTGGCATTCGGCTATAACTATCGGTCAGTTCAAGACTTGTAACCATTTGTTCATATGTTATGGTGTAACACGTTCTCATAAGCAATCCTATTCCTTCACTAGGGAAAACAAATTATGAGTGTTTTGAGCTTGCAATTACCTTAGGTGGATTAATTCAGTAATGAAATTATGCAGAAAAAAAATGAAAATTAGGCTTCGCCTTTTTTGCCGAATTTTTTATAAAAAACAACAAAATAGAATTGCAGCATCGATGTGTGTTGTGAATCATTTTCAAGCTAAGATTTTCGAAAAAGAATTGTGTACAATGATTCAGATTTATGTACACTTTCTTATCCGCCTAAGTTTGTCTTCGTTTTCCATCAATTATATGCGTTACTAGTCTATGAACATGGTAATTAGTGTCAGACATTGTCCTTCACATGTCATTTGATGACCCGGTTTTATATTTGATTCCTAAATAGATTGTAAAATTAGCTCATGTCCATCCTTCAAAATTCAAAGGGTATGATGTTTAGCTACGTATTTTAATAAAATTCACCTTCAACCCAAATGTTGTCAGCAATAAGAGAGCTTATGAACCAATTTATCTGTATCATGGTCATTGTAAAAACTAAATTATGTTTCAAACGCTTCCATATCAATTTATTTTGATGGAGTTTTGTTCTCTGAGCTGGATGGTTTGATCATGGAGTTTTCATCGTTCTTCTGAACGACATCATCAGCACAAACATCAATTTATTTTCTCGAAAATATCATTTGTTGTCTAACATAATGAAAAATAGATCTCATTGACTGAGTGATCGTTTTTCATTGTTACATCTATGATTTGGATTTTCTTTAATGTTCTGGTAGAAAAGAGGTTTGAGATAATTTATGTTTGTACTTCTGACACAATTCATTCTTTAAGTATTTTTCCTAGGTCTGTAAATGTGTCCAGTTGCGAAGATTTTCATCATGCTATTGAATTAAAAGTTGAAAAATTGCTTTTACCCATTCTCCATGTAATTAGATATGAATCACACTCTAATTTTGAGGGCTAATGATATTATCTAGTTTCTGAAATCGAACTAGGAAGAGCAGAATTAGAACCGGAGACTTAGGAACTGGAAGTTTAACGCGTTATTCACCAAACCACATCTCTATGTTGCTGAGTAGCAAGACGTTCAGAAAAAAATCTTATTTTTTTCTCCAGAATGCAACAAGTTATAGTAATCTCGGAACTGTTCAGTTGTTATATATTTTAATAGTTGAGATCATGAGTCAATTGAAGCTAGGTCACTATGGAAAACCTGGAACCACTGGACGGCCATTTCGTCCTATTGTGGGACTCCTCAGCAGTGCGCATTCACGATCCCACCTCGCGAGATTCGAACCCAGGAACTGTCGGTCTCACGCCAATGTAAAGGGATTTGGCATAGTCCTAAGCGGTACCCTCGGTATCTCTTCTCACTAGGATTCGGTAGCCAACAAAGTGCAGTCCTTCTAGATATTTCTCTCTATGGCTTTATGTAGCCGGACTTCATAACAACTATAAACTGTTTTAAGTGCATAATTCGGACTGTTAAGTTATGTTCTCCTTTTAGAATAAATTTAAAAAGTAGAAACATACAATTTACTCGATCTGTAAAAAAACCACTCATCGCTCCTTGGGGTTCTGAACTTGCAACCCAGGAAGTAAAGAAGGATTAAGGGGAGGTCACAGTGATTTATAATATAACTCATAATACACTTCATCACGGCAGAGTACTTGAATGTCTAATTTATACTCATGAAAACATCTATTTATGATAAGAGCCTCATGAACATTCATGTTAACTTATTAATGATCAGAACCAGTGTGATATGAAAATCTATACAGACAGCAATGTTGACAGGATCTCGAAGGAAGACTTGAACTTTACTCTAGTTCTCTAGTTGTTGCAGGGGTTCACTTCAGTGAGAGATTTCAGATTTCAGATTTCTGTAGTTAGGACAGAGGGCCTACGGTTTGTGCTATTCCTTTTCTAGTATGCTTCTGTGAGTGTCCAGTCTTCTCTTGAATGAGTCAGTTGAAGGTGCGGACAACACTTCTTCGGGCAGCAGCTCCCAAGTATTGATGACTCAGCCTAAAAACCTGTATTCCACTGGTGTTTTGTTCGTTCTTGGCTTTTCCACTCGCCTGCTATGTCCTCTTAAATGTCCCGATCTAGTGGGAAGAATAAGGGAGAATATGTTAGGTCCGAAATCGTTTATTGGTATTTTATACATCAAAATTAGATCACCCCTTAGTCTGTGATAGGACAGAGAAAAGAGGTCCAGCTTTTCAAGCCGTTTATTGTATGGAGTTCTGGAATTGTAGATGCCCTCTGTACTTTTTACAAGATGTTCGAGTTACCTTTTAATCAGGGGCTTGCAGCCTGAACGCAGTTCTCAAGATTAGTTCTCACTAAGGTTGTGTATGCTGTAGCGAACATGTTAGTATCTAACTTACTGAATGTCCGTTTAAAACCCAGAGCGTTATAAACCCCTTAGCTGCGACCTACCGGCAATGGGCCGCCGTCTTAAGATTGTGAGACCGAATCACAGGTACAGGCACTTCCTTCTATTAATCTTTTTATCCCCAAAGTGCATGTACAAGTACTTTGCCAGGGTTGATAGACACCAGTTAATCACATTATTTAAATCTGTCTGGAGTGCGCGTGTGTCTTCATCTCCCGTCATTTCTCGCCAGATTTTTACATCGTCAGCATATCATAACATTTGGGACTCAACAATACTTGGGAGATCATTTACATACAGTGTTAAAAGTAAAAGACGTGGGACAGAACGTTAAGGTACTATACTAAGTCCTGGTCTCCAGGTGGAACACTTGTAATTTATTCCTACATTTTGTTTACGACCTACTAAGAAATCCTTAAGCCATTTTAATAGAGGTCCGGAAATACCAAGATTTTCTAGCTTTAAAAACAGTCTTTTGGCATCTTGTCAAATGCTTTGATGAAATATATGCAGAAAACATCCACTGAGTTTCCATTGCTAGGTAAACCTTTTATATCCAGGCGAAGATTAGATCACGAGTAACTTCTGTGACATATTAATTGACTAATATTATCTATGCATTCTTATGGTATAACAATTCAATAGTTAGATTAGGTATATTTATATTCCTCTTATTATAAGCTTTATTTTCACCTATAATTTATTGTTTTATGATTTACTGTTCCTTAGATATGTTCAGTTTATTGACTACTGCCTCTCACATTCACAGTCACTTTTTGGCTTTATTGTGTACAAATGTTATATCCTGTTTTATGGTGTGTTGCGGTCTGTTTGGTTGATATACAAACCCAATATGTCTGAAATAAATGATTCGATTCGATTCGCATAGTGGAAGCTGGTATTGGTGTTCTGGACTCAAGTAGACGGGCTAGGCGGACATAGGAACAATAAGAACACTAAGCTTCTCATACCGGTCGAACATCATTGGTTTGGCACGGTGCTAAGTTTGCATAAGTCGTATTTTAATTGGTGGATAAAGCACGTGATAAAAAGCCGGACATAAAGTCATGACAAAATCCTTTCTGAAACCATGTGTTCGCTGTCTCACAGGTTATTGGCTTCTACAAATGTCATTATAGTCTGCTTGACTGTTCTTTCCAATATTTTAACCATAACACTGATGAGGTTGGCAGGTCTTTAGTTCGATGGAAGTTGCCTTGGTCCTGTTTTATGTATGGGAGTGATGATTGAATCCTTCCAGTCTTGACTTTGTATTTGGGTCTGGTTCATTGTCTAGAAGAGGTTCCTGAGTGAAAACTGCCCCAAAATACTTAGCCATATTCTCTGCTTCTTCCTGATCTTCCTCTATCATTTCAGATCCACTCTCTCCTTTAATTAGGTTGGGAATCCAATGCTGCATCCTTGTTCAGTAATTTGTGCACGAGAATAATCTTTTAGGCTGCTTGAGTGCAGATTGTGCCAGCTGCATTTCAAATTTTCTCTGAGCTTCACGAATTTTTGTCATACACTTGTTTCTTACGGATCTGTAGCGTTCCATCGTATCTTCTGTGCCAAGGTGGATGGCAACATCCCAACATTTCTTCTTTTGTCTTATTAAACGTCGAATATCCCGGCCTATCCAGGGATGGCCGTACTCCTTTTTCTTTGGAACTGTCCAGGGTATGTATGGTTGAGTTACCCGATTGTATAACTACATGAAATGAGTCTATGCCTCTTGTACTGATACCCTTTAGTCAATTTCCCAGTCTTCAGCAGATGCTATGAAGTTTGTTGCCTCCATGTTAGGACGGACCGGCGTAACTGTTTGACAGGCCATGTCAGCGATGAACTTGAATAAGATGACTGCATGATCGCATCTCTCCAGAGGTGGGAGGAGAGTCGTTTGGCCGACATCATCACCGTGTGTGAAGACTAAATACAAGAGAGACGAGGAGCTTCGTAAGTCATATCTGATGGGACCTCTAGTGTGTTGTAATAAAGCTAATCCAATCGAGGTTTCTAACAGTTTACAACCGAACGACCTTATCGATGACCCTAATTCTAAGTTAACCCAGTTTATATACGGTGCATTAAAGTTACCTACTATAAGGGTTTTACCCCTATTACACCAGGACCTAAGTTTGCTTAGGAGGAATTCACCTAATACACATTCTGGAATGTGATATGCCACAACTAATTCAGTATATTGTCGTCTACATTTAAACTTGAAACGCACCAGTTTACATGTCCCTGAATCATGTGCTACTGTCTCAACTACGTTCCACTGATTTGTTTTACCTTTAAATCCCTGAATGAAAATAATACGGAGCATGCTTTAACATTACTATCACGCTCTCCCACAGCCGCAAAATAGACAAATAGTTCATTAATTTTCTCAATCACAGTTTGAGGGCTTGGAGTTTGAAGTATGATAGGCGCATTTAGTAAAGCGTGCGTTCCATCATGCTCGTAATGTGTTAGCCAAGGGTTAAACCCATAATATATTATGATCTAATGAGGGTAAGTGTAGTGGGTTTTTTGCCAAAATTTTACATAGTCTGAAATTTAGCGTTTTTAACCCTAATTGTATTATAGTCATGATGGCGCACATTACCCAAGCAACAATAGGGAAGTGACATTCACTACAGATACTCAATGTGAATTTTAAGCTGAAATCGACAGAACTGTCACTTGTTTTGTTTGACTTCGGTAAACAGTTATGTCCGTTACAATTTTTTTGATGATACTCCTAAGCTGCCAGCTTTGTTTTTTGGATATTTTGAGTAGATTTTGCTAAATATTCTTCATATATGTGAATTTTGGGTATTTTCGGCAAGGTTTTCCCAAAATTTATCAAGACGTTATCTGGGATGTATCTTTTATTCACGCTGTACGGTGGGGAGCCGCGAACGTCTTGAAATCCGTGTACGTATTTTCTATGTTTGTTGACTTTATCAACCATACCTAACTGCTCTCCACTTTTTCATCTTATTTTCAGATTTGACAATACTGTTTGTTGTTATGTCAACCAATCAACTTTCAATTAGTCGAAAAACGTGCTGAAAAAACTTTTAAATCAAACCGATATCAGTCATATTAAATACAAACAGACCATCTTTTATGCCTATCAAATACTGAAGTCTCCTGTCCTTTTTTAAAGTCATATGGTTTATCACTTTAACAATCATTTTAATGTATTAGCGAGCACTTTAAGCTGCGCAAAAGGTCACTGTTTAATACTAGTATTATTTCTCCTGACTTGTTTTAAACATCTGTTCGAATCCAGTCTATTTCTAGTGTAGTTGTCCAATGACATGTTTTTAATTTGTTTGAGGCATATGACTTATCAATTTTAACAATTGGTCATTAGTTAATTTTAAATTAGTCACTGCCTAATTTTTTCTGCAATAAACTCTGAATGTATACTCTGATTGTATTATTTTATTTATATTTACTTGAAGGTATACCATATGGTGTTCAATCACGATTTCTACCTCTTATATTTCGCAATAAAGGTCTCTCACTTACTTCATTAGGTCTACATAAACTCCTTCATATTCCTTGGCTACTTAAAAGCTTTTATGCTCCGGTAATTGACAGACATGTGAACAAAAGAGTGTGGTTATTTATCACTTTCAGTGGTTTGTTTTTTTGCACAGTCTTATTACTTCACGAATGTGAACAATTGGTCAGTGGAAACAATTATTTCATGTTCACTATTTCTTCTTGTCTTTTTATGTATAATTTTTGGGCAGCTTCACAAGACATTACTGTTGATTCACTGACCTTGTCCACCTTAACATCGAGTCAAATCTCTTTAGGGAATACTATACAAGTTGTTGGCTACAAATGTGGAGCTATTATTGGCGGTGGATTTCTTGCTTGGTTATCAGCTTTTGTAGAAATCAGTTATCTTTTCATATCACTTAGTTGCTTATATGCTAGTGGGATGTGCTTTTGTTTGATCGGAAAGTATTGGAAATTTTGTAATGTAAAACAATTTCACGAAAAAACGTATATTCAAGTAAATGGTAAGGTTAAATTGATAAACTGCGCTGTGATTTGTATTTTTACAACGCTTTCGCATACTATTATTTTGTTTTTCATAGGAATTTTCGTCTAGATATAAACGAATAGTTTCACAGTAGATGAGTTCCGAGTTAATATCAAATATTAAGTAGGAAATTATATTTGTAAAACTCGGCGGTTCAACTTTAAGTAAATCCAACGTTTCGCACGGGGATCTGGTTTTAATTTTTATGTTATGCGAAACTTAATAAAGTGATGTACTCTTCAGACCTAATTCTTTCAATGCAGTTCATTTTTAGATAGACCAATACTTCCATCTTTAAAGGACATTATCAGTGCAAGGGGTAGTGATCATTACCCAGCTGCCTAACTTAAGGCAAGCGGAACAAGGTCAGAATCTTGGACCTTCTAGTTAAATGCTAGGTGGTTTAACCACTAATTAGGTATGTCTTACTCAACTAAGCTATATTTACGCCAAATACGTAAATTGCTTCCACTGCTCTTGATATCCGGAAAGACAATCAAATAATGAGGCAGCACTAGTCGATTGGATCCCCATTAACCGTCGGTTATGTGCTGTTAGATTAGAAAGTTCCATCAAAGTGAGAAGAAATCGGCGTGAGAAACGATGTCTTTTCGCCATCTCCGCCTATGCCTAGACAGATTGCAGCCCGGATGCAATCAAGGATGAGTTTTACCACCAGTTATCTGTTCTTCTCCAGAAAGTGCGTTCGACAGATATTGTGGTACTAGCCGGAGACTTGAATGCTCAGGTCGGGCGTCTAGGCACAGAAGAGAGTCGTTTAGGTGGCCGATGGGGACTCGTTGGTCGCAGGCCAGATAACAGGGACCGTCTACTGCAACTTTGCACAGACCACAACCTGTTTCTGGCTAGCACTAACTTTCGGCACAGTCATCGCCGATGTGCCACCTGGCGTCCTCCCTCTGCATCCCAAGCCTGGACTCAGATTGATCACATCGCGATCAGCTACCGCTGGCGTGGTTGTGTACAAGACTGCCGCTCCTTTTCGAGTACCTATCTGGACTCTGACCATGCCTTGGTCTGCGCCAATCTTGCCTTACTTTTCAGTGGCCAACGAAGTGACCGCCATCAACGGATTGATATTAGCAAGCTGGTTGCAACTTCTGTTGCAAGTAAGTATCGAACCGAGCTAGCCTCTAGGCTAGCTACCATTCCACCGAAAAGTATAGATGAGCATTGGTTGCAATTGCATGACGCCATGAAAATGGCGGGTACAGTCAGTTGTGGGTTCGCGAAACGTCCCGCTTATAAGCACTGGGTTTCTGCAGGTTCCTTACAACTCATTGAAGCCCGTCGGTCTACTCCGGGTGACCGTGAGTTTGACCACAAACGAAGGATGTTATGTAAGGAAATTGGGCAAAACTTGCGTAAGGACCGAGAAGCCTGGTGGTCGAAGCGTGCTAATGAGCTGGAAGCAGCAGCTGCATCTGGTAACTACCGGAAGCTCTTCCAACTCATCCGAGCCACTGGCAGCAAGAAGTCTGGTGTGAGTGAAACAATCTGCGAGGATGATGGGATGCCAACCACTAACATCCATCGACGTCTTGGACGATGGGCAGAGTTTTTTGAAGGGCAGTTCGACTGGCCTGCTGCTCCGGCAACATCGGTCAGACTGTCCTGCCCTCCATGGCCGGTGACGACTGATCCACCAAACGAGGAGGAAGTCCGCAAGGAACTCCAACTCTTGAAGCGTTACAAATCACCTGGCCCAGATGACTTACCTCCGGCTCTTTTTAAAGATGGTGGTGACTTTTTGACTAAGGAATTGGCGACGTTGTTTACAAAGGTTTGGCAACTAGAGAGTGTACCAACGTCATGGAATGAGTCGATAGTTGTCTCTATCTTTAAAAAGGGTTCACGTCGTTCCTGTAACAACTATCGGGGGATAAGTCTACTTCCGATTGCGTCCAAGCTATTGGCTTCCGTCATACTTCGTAGGTTGTTCAAAACCCGAGAAAGATTGACTCGCGAGGAGCAGGCTGGGTTTCGTTCTGGTCGAGGATGTATTGATCATATCTTCACCCTCCGCCGAATGTTAGAACACCGCCATACTTTTCAAAGGCCAACAATCGTAGTGTTTCTTGATATCAGGGCTGCCTTCGATTCGTTCGATAGGACTGTTCTCTGGGATTGTCTATTGGAGAAGGGTGTGCCTGAGAAGTTTATTAACATCCTAAAAGCCCTATATACAAACACCTCAGGCAGAGTGAGTGCATACAACCACCTCTCTCCATTGTTCCATTTGAGCAGTGGGGCTAGGCAGGGTTGCCCAATCTCACCATTCCTCTTCAACTTTGCCATCGATGACATTCTGGAAACAGCTCTGATGAATGTAAGTAATGGTGGTGTGGATCTGTTGCCTGGAGAAAGACTTCTCGACCTTGAGTATGCGGACGATATTGTCTTACTGTTCGATAATGCCCAAGACATGCAATCCGCACTTAATCAGTTGGCAATCAGTGTCCGTAGGTATGGTATGTGCTTTGCACCTTCGAATTGCAAACTACTTCTACAAGACTGGCAGGATTCCAATCCTGTACTCACCCTGGATGGTGAGCAGATAGACGTAGTCGAGAAGTTCGTGTATCTGGGTAGCTGCATAAGTGCTGGTGGGGGTGTGAGTGATGAGATCAATGCACGAATAGTGAAAGCCAGAGCGGTTTATGCCAATCTGGGCCACCTTTGGCGCCTTCGTGATGTTAGTCTGTCTGTTAAAGATCGGATCTACAACGCGTCGGTGAGAGCAGTTTTGCTCTATGCTTGTGAAACCTGGTCTCTCTGAGTTGGGGACGTTAGACGACTCTCTGTGTTCGATCATCGCTGTCTCCAAAGGATTACTGACATCCAGTGGCAACACCAGGTCAGTAATGAAGAGGTTCGGCATCGTGTGTTCGGACACAGAGACGATAATCCGATTGGTGTCACCACCTTGAAACACCAACTTCGGTGACTTGGACATGTTCTCCGAATGTCGTCCCAGAGAATTCCACGTCGTGCATTATTTGCCGACTCTGGGACTGGTTGGAAGAAGCGGAGAGGTGGTCAGTGCATGACATGGTGTCGTGGTATGAAAGAATGCTGCAAAGGACTGGCTTGTGTTGGTCCTTCACGACTCCCTGGTTGGGGTCTGAGAGATGGTGCTACACAGTGGCTAGAGACGTTATCAGATATGGCTCAGAATAGAAGCCAGTGGCGATCCTGCTGTAACCTTCTTTTACTTTCTTCATAAAAAGTGGTTGTGTCTCCCTTACCTGAAAGATTTCTTCCGATTTTACCTTTGCGTTCCCTCATTACTACCACGCTACCTTACACCAATCTCTTCGTTATTGTTCTTTTTTTCTATTTCTCTTCGAATTCTCATTGTTTTGTGTGGCGCATATATATTGGCGCTCTCTTGTACCAAAATTCATGTGTTCAAATAAATAAAATAATCTGATCTAGAACAAAGCAAGGATTTCATGCATTTGGGCCACTGTGACCGATTTAAATTATCAGTCATTTATATGCGACTAAGAACCTGGCACAAATGCGAATCGGTTCAATTTTCCGGATCACATTAGCACGCTGAGATGAAATTGTCAAAGCAAATCCCGGAATGGCAAAAATAGTAGTGGTCATAGAAAAGGTTAAGCATGTAAGATATGGATTCATGTAAAAAAATCATAAGATAATTTGAAAACTTAGGATTTAGGGGAAGACAGAATGAATGCGCCTATGTCATTACGAACAATTGAGAGCTATGTTACCTAGTCTCTAACCAGTTTTTGCGATTCTGAGACATATTATCCAACTTTTTCCACCATTGATCGCGCAGACCCAAACCAAGTAGTCCTCATTTACCAACATGCCTTAGGCCACTAGTCAATGACCTCATGAACTAACGTTACATTTCGGCTTAGAAGATACTAGCTTTCTCCTAGCTAATTCATACACCAGCTAACATTAAACATTAAGGTAGGTGGTGATTAGGCGTACGTACCACATATCCTAAGCACCCCAGTTGATGAAGTTCCACAACCTCACCAATCAATTCGCCTAACACCTTATGCACAGTATTGTTGATAACGATAAACTAAACATTCGAAAACATATTTTAGAAGAAACGAATAAAATCAAGGGATGAAACCGCATAAATATCAAAACTCAAGATTTGAAGATCAAAAACGAATGCGCCTACGGGAATTCGATTGGTTTTAAGAGATATCATTTAAAGTCTCTTAGCATAGATTAAGAGATGGTTGTATGCACTCACTCTGCCTGAGGTGTTTGTATATAGGGCTTTTAGGATGTTAATAAACTTCTCAGGCACACCCTTCTCCAATAGACAATCCCAGAGAACAGTCCTATCGAACGAATCGAAGGCAGCCCTGATATCAAGAAACACTACGATTGTTGGCCTTTGAAAAGTATGGCGGTGTTCTAACATTCGGCGGAGGGTGAAGATATGATCAATACATCCTCGACCAGAACGAAACCCAGCCTGCTCCTCGCGAGTCAATCTTTCTCGGGTTTTGAACAACCTACGAAGTATGACGGAAGCCAATAGCTTGGACGCAATCGGAAGTAGACTTATCCCCCGATAGTTGTTACAGGAACGACGTGAACCCTTTTTAAAGATAGAGACAACTATCGACTCATTCCATGACGTTGGTACACTCTCTAGTTGCCAAACCTTTGTAAACAACGTCGCCAATTCCTTAGTCAAAAAGTCACCACCATCTTTAAAAAGAGCCGGAGGTAAGTCATCTGGGCCAGGTGATTTGTAACGCTTCAAGAGTTGGAGTTCCTTGCGGACTTCCTCCTCGTTTGGTGGATCAGTCGTCACCGGCCATGGAGGGCAGGACAGTCTGACCGATGTTGCCGGAGCAGCAGGCCAGTCGAACTGCCCTTCAAAAAACTCTGCCCATCGTCCAAGACGTCGATGGATGTTAGTGGTTGGCATCCCATCATCCTCGCAGATTGTTTCACTCACACCAGACTTCTTGCTGCCAGTGGCTCGGATGAGTTGGAAGAGCTTCCGGTAGTTACCAGATGCAGCTGCTGCTTCCAGCTCATTAGCACGCTTCGACCACCAGGCTTCTCGGTCCTTACGCAAGTTTTGCCCAATTTCCTTACATAACATCCTTCGTTTGTGGTCAAACTCACGGTCACCCGGAGTAGACCGACGGGCTTCAATGAGTTGTAAGGAACCTGCAGAAACCCAGTGCTTATAAGCGGGACGTTTCGCGAACCCACAACTGACTGTACCCGCCATTTTCATGGCGTCATGCAATTGCAACCAATGCTCATCTATACTTTTCGGTGGAATGGTAGCTAGCCTAGAGGCTAGCTCGGTTCGATACTTACTTGCAACAGAAGTTGCAACCAGCTTGCTAATATCAATCCGTTGATGGCGGTCACTTCGTTGGCCACTGAAAAGTAAGGCAAGATTGGCGCAGACCAAGGCATGGTCAGAGTCCAGATAGGTACTCGAAAAGGAGCGGCAGTCTTGTACACAACCACGCCAGCGGTAGCTGATCGCGATGTGATCAATCTGAGTCCAGGCTTGGGATGCAGAGGGAGGACGCCAGGTGGCACATCGGCGATGACTGTGCCGAAAGTTAGTGCTAGCCAGAAACAGGTTGTGGTCTGTGCAAAGTTGCAGTAGACGGTCCCTGTTATCTGGCCTGCGACCAACGAGTCCCCATCGGCCACCTAAACGACTCTCTTCTGTGCCTAGACGCCCGACCTGAGCATTCAAGTCTCCGGCTAGTACCACAATATCTGTCGAACGCACTTTCTGGAGAAGAACAGATAACTGGTGGTAAAACTCATCCTTGATTGCATCCGGGCTGCAATCTGTCTAGGCATAGGCGGAGATGGCGAAAAGACATCGTTTCTCACGCCGATTTCTTCTCACTTTGATGGAACTTTCTAATCTAACAGCACATAACCGACGGTTAATGGGGATCCAATCGATTAGTGCTGCTTCAGCTCTAGCGCTTAGTGCGACACCAACGCCAGCAAGACCAGACGAAAATGCCACAGGGTCCCCGGATAAGCGCACGTCAAACAGGCTTTTTGAAGCGACAGATGGTTATCGAATTTGTAGTGCTTCACCAGGGTCTTGAATACAGGTCTCGGATAGACAGCAGACATCGATATGAAGACTTTTCAAAGACATAGCCAGCCCTATCTGTTGACCAACCTGCATAAGTGTGCGAACGTTGAAGGCATCCAGTTTGAATGGTGCACGTGGTTTCAGAAAAACTGCCTCAGTACTCATATTCGGTGGTAACATACAATTTTCAACCGGACAGTGACTCGAGAACGTTTAGATACAGTCGAATTTCCATCAAAGACGAGCCGCTGTATAAGTATAAAAGAGGGTGAATAATGTGGAAAATAATAATAATAATAATAATGACTAATAGTAATAACAATAATAATAATATTATTATTAATAATGACAATAATAGTAATGATAATAATTTGAATCAATTGATTGTTTTTCGAAGCGAGAAAAGTAGTTTCCATAGACATAGAGAGTTCATCATTTGTGTGTGGGCTGTGATACTTCCCGGGTGCCCAAACCGAAGCAAATCAGAAGTTCCAGTACTCTCATCAGCATACCTTTTCATTCCATTTTTCTGAACCACATTCACAGTCTTTAGTCCTCATTGCCATTACTTACGCCTGTTACTCCCAATGGAGCATAGGCCGCTGACCAGCCTTCTCCAACCCACTCTGTCCTGGGCCTTCAATTCCAATTATGTCTAATTTTTGTTCATTTTTCTCATGTCTGTCTATATTTCTCGGTGTAATATGTTCTTTGATCTTCCTCTTTCCCGTTGGCCTCGAGGATTCCATGTGAGGGCTTGCCATATGACGCTGTTGGGTGCTTTCTTCGATATGTGTCCTGTCCACTTCCATCGCTTCTTCCTCCACTGGAATCTGGCTTGTTCTCTCCCACAGTAGGTTGTTGCTGATAGTGTCTGGCCAAGGGATCCGAAGTATTTTGCGTAGAAAACTGTTAATAAACACTTGTATCTTGTGGATGATGGCTTCCGTAGTTCTCCAAGTTTCCGTCCCATACAGTAGAACTGTGTTGATATTTGTATTGAAAATTGTGACTTTGTTGTTGGTTGATAGTTGTTTTGAGTTACAGATGTTTTTCAGCCTCATTGTCATTGGTACTACATTATTTTGATTCTTCTAACTCATCATGTTAATTTGTATGGGAACTTGGTCCAATGCACATCTTTGTCAGGTTATACATTATGACTGAATGACTGATCTCAAATTGTTTTCGTTTTATCTCGTTTATTGTGCTCAATTAAAGTATGACAAATTGAGCTGACGCATGCAAGATTTAATACTGTTTATGATTAATTGGTGGTAGTAGTCTGTTAGCTTAACGGGTTAAATTCAGAAAGAAGCAGAAAAAAGCACTGGTTTCATAACATACTGAGGATGCCATTATAACATATTTGGGTTAATCACGCTTTACAGACCCTATGCATTTTATAGTTCAATTGATTGAAGTCATAATTTTGCATTGTAATATTATATATCTTTGACTTCTCTTATTTTACGTGATTATTTGACTTTGATTTTGATCAGAGAATGAGAATTCAGACGATGAACAAAATTTAACTATTGTGTCAAAACGATATTCGTACACAAAAGCCTTCAAAATTGCCCTGGGTCATTCAGGTGGTTCACGTTGTCTTATTGTTCTTCTGTTGATTTATAAACTTGGAGAGCAAGGATCTATGAATATGCTACCTTTGATGCTTTTAGATAGAGGATTTTCTCTATCTAAAGTTGGATTTTGGACAGGTGTTGTTGGACAGTTGGCATCTATAATTGGGTCTACATCTGGATACTATATCCAGAAAAAGCTCAGGTTTGTTTAAGCTATCGGAAAAATACTTTCGAATGTTTAAAAAATGTTACGAAAAGACGAAGTTGGTCTAAAATACATGGTATGCTTGACTCACTCCATTTCAAACAGTCTGATCGCACATTTACCAAAGGATTGCATGTGAAAACTAGTGTAGGTCATTTAAGTAAACGGTCAAATAGACAAAATGTTATTAGCAGAAGTATATAACACAAGATGGTCTATTATAATAGTAATAACTGGTCTTCACTTTGTCTTTGGCACTAATATTGATTATGAATTATCAGGTCAGGTTAGAAAGATGAGTGATTTACTTCTGGATACCTAAAGTTAATATTTTCCTTAGATTAGAAGTCATAAACTTGAAAGTGCACCGAATGCAGTTCCTATATAGGGAATTAAAAGCTATCAAAATGTTATTTGTATCACCTATTTCAGTTTCTTGTTTTGCCTTCGTCTATCTGGGATTGAGGGGCTAACGAAATACGAAGCCATTTCCGTCATATCTACCAATTGAATAGGTCGATTACTGTTTCTTACACTTTTAAACCATTGAAATTCATAGAATGTTATTATAGGATGTTATAGAGATCGTTGAATCTAAAGCTTCACATCACAGACTGACTTTTAGGTAGATGACCAATGAAAGCGACGAAGCAATGGTCAGTTGTTTCATTCTAGTGTGGAAATTCTCAACATCACACATCTACAACTTCATCTCCTCAGGTCTCAAGGTGAACACCTAACATTTTGATCACAATTTACATTTCTAACTCCAATCAATTCACGATATGGTGTGACCAACATCCATTGGGATCGGGTTCATTTGTATCACATCCAACTGGTCACGGCTTCTCACTGGGACTCTAGGATTTACATCTCGAAGTTAGTCACCAGCAAACACGTGGTGATTGTTATCATGTATTGGAAATATCGTTAATTTTTGCCTATTCATTTACGTGATATTAACGTCCATGCAAAATACGAGTTTCGTTCTCTTAATGACGATCGATTTGGCAGTTTTATGTCTTTTTCTTGTCTGTTTTCAGACTCCGTTTCAAAATTATGCTGTCCAACTTCATTTTGTACTGTATAGGAAAGGGATTTTGATATTACCTAATTTCTATTTTAGAGTAAAAACTTTTGTAGCTATCTGTTTATTAGTGATGTCTCAATAATATTTACAATCTTTTCCATTTGGCAACAAATAAAAAAACGTTACTTAAGTTAGTTTTTCTTTAAAAAAAGGTCAGAAAATAATGCAGTATTTATATTTTCAGCTTACATGAAGCCAGTAAGGATTAGATAAAACACATGCAGCACATAATTCAGATTTTGAAATCGTTTTCTCCTTAATGCTAAATATTTCAGGCACTTTCTCTCAGGTTTATACACTGGACACTCAAATTATATGTCAGTGATTCAAACCATTTTAACTTATTTGTACATGAACAGTTGAACATTTACACTCCTCCCTCGTTAAATATCACGTTTCAGTGCATGTGACGTAATCCTTTATGTGCATACTTTGTCGTTGAGCATAAGACAGTTGTCGTTCAACGAACGTGTGCTAGTTTAAGAATGATAAAGAGAAATTGTAGTTTCTATTCGATTAGTTTCTCGTCATGGCTCTACATCAAAATAATATATATGTATGATTTGCAACAGTGAAATAATACTCAATAATTATATAATCACACATTGATCATAAAATAATATTGAGTAATAGGGAGAAAGAAGATTATAATAATCAAGGTAATTATTCGAAAAATCAAGCAGTTACTACGTTGCATAATATATAAAAAGAAGGGACTAACATAATATTTTGATGAAAGGTCGGTATTGTAGTAGTTATGTAAGAACCAAGGGATGAATTTTGAGAATATGTAAAATACAAGTGGAAGTAATTAGAAAATAGTTTAAATATTTTTGGAAGAAAGGATTTCATCAAAGTTCAGCTACAGACTCACTCCAATACTGGTGGCCAAGTTATAGAGAGTGGTTGTAAAAACTTTTGAATGTTAAGGCTTGGTTTGTAAACACTGACCCCAGTGGCTTCAGCGTTGTGCAAAAGTTGAACTCGTAAACCAAGTGGTAAATTTGATAGAATATGGTGGATAACCTTAAAAACTTTATTCATGTCAACTTGGTGACCTGTGTCCACCAAATAAGTGAGAATATAACTGAATCACTCATACTCGTCTTTTGTTCAACCAAAACTGATGGTGTTCTGCTATGAGATGACGGATTTGTCAAATTGTACACATTATATAACCGGCTCAAAAGGAGCAGTTGAATTGGTAAATATACATGGATGTGGCGAATTCAAGCAGTCATTCTTAATAAAGGTTCTTATTATGGGGCAGTTGTAGAGCCATGATGAAAAACTAATGGAAAATAAATTTCTCCTCAATTCGTTCTTTTTTTTTATCAAATGTCGAAATGAGCATTCCCACTGAATTTGTAATTCACTTAGTGGGTGTATTTGTTGTTTTTATTTTGTTCTCTGAGTTGAATGATGTAATTGTGTTAGGCTTATATTGATCTTTTTTGATAACATTATCATCAGCTTACAATTTCTTTTTGACACTTTTAGATCTCCACTAACTTCAGTTCTAAGCCTGATGATAATTCGGGCTTGTTTACAATTCCCTCTAACAATGATTGCTTTCAAATCTATTTGGATAAGTGCACCTAACGTTTATTTCTGTAAGTCATTCGATTTATTCATAAAAATTCACTGTTATTTATACCAGTATGTGCAATTTTTTAGGGCTGTATTGTATTTAATTATACTTTTGAACAATGTGAATTAAAAAGGTAAGTTATGTAGTGTGTTGTTTATAACATTACGGAATATCCATTACATTACCGAAGTTTATAAAAGTGATTAGATTTTAACTAAATAATAATTTCAGTGGTTAAGATCATGAGTCAGTTGAAGCTAGACCATCATGGAAAACCTGGAATCACTGAACGGCCGTTTCGTCCTATTGTAGGACTCCTCAGCAGTGCACATCCACGATTTCGTCCCCCGCGAGGTTCGAACCCAGGACCTACTGGTTTCGCGCGCGAGTAGTCTAGTGGTTAGGTAGGTCCTGGGTTCGAATCTCGCAGGGGGCGAAGTCGTGGATGCGCACTGCTGAGGAGTCCCATACTGGGACAAAACGGCCGTCCAGTGCTTCCAGGTTTTCTATGGTAGTCTAGCTTCAATTGACTCATGATCTTAACCATTGACATTACTATAATATCCACAAAACCCCTTTTGATACTAAATAATAATTTTCAAACGGACTAAAACATTATGATAGATTAAAGATCAAAGACATAACTTTACTATGAGAGAGATTTTGATATGATTTCACAGGTAGGTAAATAAAAATCCTTATAAATTCGATTAGAAATCGAATAGAGACAATCATATAATAAATAATTTGATGTCAGATATAAGTAAATGTTTATGTAATGCATTCGTATTCACTTATTATCATATAAAATGCAGAGATTGTTATGACTTGTGAACCGTTAAACATCACGTGATTTATTCGCAAATCAGAATACAACTTATATCATCTTAACGCTGTGCCATAACGACGACATATTGACCAGTATGAGCAGCCTAGTGTCATTATTGATCCCTTTTCCCTCCTAGCCCTGCCTGTTGAGTTCAGAATGCCAATACTAACTTTCACTATACGCATACTCATAGGCATACGCAAAGCAGACCACATCATACCATAAAATAAAAAATAACCATTATACAAGGTCAAAACAAAATGTGGCTGTGATTGTGAGAGACTGTAATTAATAAATTGGGTATAACTTAAGAATAGTAAATCGTATAATAATAGTCTATAGGTCAAAATAAAGTCCATAATAAGAGGAATATGAATATAAATAATCTAGTTAGTAAATAGTTATGCAATAAGAATACACGTATAATATTAGTTCATTAATAGTTCTCAGAAGTTACCCATAATTTAATCTTCGCTAGGCTATAACATAGATATGTAGGCTTGTCTTGTAAATTCAGCAGTATCGAGTGATTTTATTATTTTGGTGTATTTGGCATATGACTGGCAATGGAATCCAGGTTGCATGTTTCGTCCTGGTTGGGACCCATCACCTAGATATACCTTCATCTCTGTGTTAATGCTTACATTGAAACTCGAATCTAGTATCTTTCATTCAATGAATTATTCATTAATCTACTGACTCCACTTATCCACTATAACAGACATGGATGCATTATTGTCGGTTCGTAATTTTTCATTGTTGATATTCAGAATTGAACTATCTGAACACATTAAGTAGCACAGTGGATAATACTTTGAGATTTGAAGGAAAAGGTCATGGATCAAAATCTTATTTTGTGAATATCAACACCGAGATGTAGACAAATCCAGATAGTGATTCCCAAATGGTTATTATTTCTACTCACATGCAAAACATTCTATGGCTTGATACATAATTTTAGTTCAAGGCAGTCCGATCAAGATTCACATATGAGAACAGAGGCTGATCAGTTCTAAATATCAATGAAGAGAATAACATCGTTGTTCTTGCTCTCCTGAAGTTGATAAAGAGAACTATATGTCTAAATAATTAGTATCTTCGTCTAGTTTAAATTTTACTAGAAAGTGTCATTTTCATGATTGAAATCAATCTCCAAGTATTATTCTATTCGACAACCTGCTGTAAATAAGGGATGTAAAACTCGTCCTACATTGACAATGAAAAAAATCCATTTCTGTAAATACTCTTTATCTACACTATGATATCGTGAATGAATGAATAAAGCTGTTGAGGTTGCCTGGTTCTTTAATGTTGTTATGATTTAGTGACTTATAATTTGTATTACTGTTAACAATAAAATAGTCTCATTGATAAGTATCAGCTAACTGAGACTTATTGAACCAGAATGGGAAGCAAAAATCTAGAGCACTGTACTTATCATCTGTTGTGGTGGTGTTTAGTAAGAATTTTACCATTAATTTCGTTTTTTTTAAAAATAAAACCCCTTAGATTCATGAAATTTTTAAGTTTAATTACGAGACAGAATTCATTAGTTATCTTTTTTTGTCTGGTTACTGGATATCTAATACTAATCGTGTCTTTCAGTATGGGGTTGTGAAGATTGTTGAATTCTTTCGAAATTACTAGACCATCTAAGTTAAACCACTATTGAAAATCTAGAAGCACTAGATGGCCGTTTTGTCCGAGTAAGGGACTCCTCAGAAGTACACATCCACAATTCTGCATACAGGAATCAAACCAAGTATTTTTTTAGTTTCGCACACGAAAACTTAACTTCTAGACCACTGATCCATCATGCAACGGTGCTTGTTTTCTGACGTTCTGATTTGTTAATACTTTTAAATCTAATCATGAAGATAATTGATTAGTTTAAGTTTCAATTGGTTCTTCTCATGATTCAAAATAGAAAGTAGCGTTTCAAGAAAGCGTTAACTTTTCATCAGTTTAACGAACATATATTTTATGTAATTCTTATAATAATATTTACTTTCTAATTTTTTAAATTCATTTAGGGATAGGTTGTTCATTAATGAATATTTTACTAGTTGTGAGTGGAGGGATTACAACAATTATGTTCACGTTGATGATGCATTGTACATGTTCTGAATCATCTAAAGCCTATCAAGCAACTCATTATTCTATATTAAGTACAGCAGAATTATTGGGAAAACTTTTATTTGGTACAACAGCCGCATATTTTACAGATGTATTCGGATATGGAGTTGCTTATTTGTGCTTTTTAATTTTATCTATACTTCCAATTCTATATGTTTACAAATGTTCTGGGAAATTTCGATTTTCTCCCTAAATGGTTATTTAACTAGGTAAGTTTTTTTTTTTCAGTTCAGTCAAATATTGAATAAAAAATATTTTACCTTGGCATTCGGCTATAATTATCGGTCAGTTCAAGACTTGTAACCATTTGTTCATATATTGTAGGGTAACACGTTCTCATAAGCAATCCTATTCCTTCACTAATGAAAACAAATTAAGAGTGTTTTGAGCTTGCAATTACCTTAGGTGGATTAATTCAGTAATGAAATTATGCAGAAAAAAAATAAAAATTAGGCTTCGCCTTTTTTGCCGAATTTTTTATAAAAAACAACAAAATAGAATTGCAGCATCGATGTGTGTTGTGAATCATTTTCAAGCTAAGATTTTCGAAAAAGAATTGTATACAATGATTCAGATTTATGTACACTTTCGTATCCGCCTAAGTTTGTCTTCGTTTTCCATCAATTATATGCGTTACTAGTCTATGAACATGGTAATTAGTGTCAGACATTGTCCTTCACATGTCATTTGATAACCCTGTTTTATATTTGATTCCTAAATAAATTGTAAAATTAGCTCATATCCATCCTTCAAAATTCAAAGGGTATGATGTTTAGCTACGTACTTTAATAAAATCCACGTTCAACCCAAATGTTGTCAGCAATAAGAGAGCTTGTGAACCAATTTATATGTATCATGGTCATTGTAAAAACTAAATTATGTTTCAAACGCTTCCATATCAATTTATTTTGATGGAGTTTTGTTCTCTGAGCTGGATGGTTTGATCATGGAGTTTTCATCGTTCTTCTGAACGACATCATCAGCACAAACATCAATTTATTTTCTCGAAAATATCATTTGTTGTCTAACATAATGAAAAATAGATCTCATTGACTGAGTGATCGTTTTTCATTGTTACATCTATGATTTGGATTTTCTTTAATGTTCTGGTAGAAAAGAGGTTTGAGATAATTTATGTTTGTACTTCTGACACAATTCATTCTTTAAGTATTTTTCCTAGGTCTGTAAATGTGTCCATTTGCGAAGATTTTCATCATGTTATTGAATTAAAAGTTGAAAAATTGCTTTTACCCATTCTCCATGTAATTAAATATGAATCACACTCTAATTTTGAGGGCTAATGATATTATCTAGTTTCTGAAATCGAAATATGAAGAGCAGAATTAGAACCGGAGACTTAGGAACTGGAAGTTTAACGCGTTAATCACTAAACCACATCTTCATGTTGCTGAGTAGCAAGACGTTCGGAAAAAAATCTCTTATTTTTTTCTCCAGAATGCAACAAGTTACAGTAATCTCGGAACTGTTCAGTTGTTATATATTTTAATAGTTGAGATCATGAGTCAATTGAAGCTAGGTCACTATGGAAAACCTGGAACCACTAGACGGCCATTTCGTCCTATTGTGGGACTCCTCAGCAGTGCGCATTCACGATCCCACCTCGCGAGATTCGAACCCAGGAACTGTCGGTCTCACGCTCGAGCGCCTAAGCTGCAAACCATTGGACCGGCATCCAACGGTGTTAATGTCTAACTTCAACTAATCCACGAAACTGAGTGATACACCCACCATTGTCTTCAGTGAGTTACTATCTCACAACATACCCGGTTGAACTCCACTGGTCACTGCTTCTCACTAGAACTCCAGGAAATATCTCTTAAAGCCAGTCACTAGTGAGCATATGTTGATTATTATCAGAAGGGGTTTTTTTTGTGCATACTATAGTAATTTTAATCGTTGGTTTCAAATCTCGCGAAGTCGGATCGTGAATGCGCACTCCTGAGGAGTCCCATAATTGGACGAAACGACTGTCCAGTGCTTCCAGGTTTTATATGGTGGTCTAGCTTCAATCGACTCATGATCTCAACGACTAAAATTACTATAATATCCACAAAAAATCCCCCTTCTGATGTTATATATTTAAAAATAATTCATTTCGTCAGCTGAAATACACCAAAATATCAAAAATGATTTAGAATTAAAATAATTTATATTTATGATTGTAGTTTAAAAATCCCCATAGAATATTCAAAAACGAAGAATATTTGAGTGAACAGTTGTTTTCAATAACTTCATCATCAGGCTCTACAGTTATAAGTCCATAATGATTGTGATATTTTACAAAGGCAAAAATAAGGCATGTTTTAATGAGTTTGACAATGTTATGTGTTAAAAATGGTGAACGTTTGCATCTGTTACGATATATATATACTTCAAAAAAATTGTAATATTTGCAAATTAGAAAGGTCATTCAATAAAGGTCAGTAAATTGTTCAGTCACAATAAGATAATATAATAGTACTATTGCAAAATTGGAAATAATTTTGTCAACTGAGATAATAATAATAATGTTGTGTGAATATAATATGTAATAAGGGGGGGTGTTATCAAGGTAATTACGGTCAACAAATTGGGAATGATGGATATGAAGATTAAGATATAGATAATGACAAATAATGATAATAAGGAAAATAAATAAAAATAAAGGAAGGGGTAAGAGGTTTATAATATTCAGTCTAGGTATTCGGTGATGCAGTCGTAGGCCAGGGTAAACGTAGAGGCTGGATATATTTTTTCTGGATGCATAAATTAGGTCTTCTGGAGTTGATCCAGATGGCTTCGGCTGTGTAAAGCAGTCGTAATCTAGCTACTTGAGGTAGATATTTTGGAACTTGATATAAAACGGAGAAAGCTTCCTCTATTTTGATATGATGTTCACTATCTACCAAGTGAGAAAGAATGGTGCTGTTAATGACTGTATTTTTAATCGCTTTCATAAAATTTGATCAAATTCTAAAAAAATGTTTCCTTCTTTCCAATTGAAATAAATCTTACATCTGATCTCTATTATTATATTTTCTCTTATAGGTATTTATTTCATAATTTGATAAATCTTCTGACTGACTGCTTGAATCAGTTTCCTAAACTCTCTTGATAAACCTAGTCTAAATCTGCACGACAACTTGAACACGAGAAGAAAGGTGCGAAATACAGAAAGAATGCTTTACTCCAAAGGTTCGTTAATGTACAGAAAATATAGGGTTTTTATAGTCTTTTAGATGGCATTGGGTTTCCGGAAAATTCTGGAACACTACTAAACATATTATTTGTATAGATAATCATCCAATGAGAAAATCGACACGTGACTTTCTAATTCCTAGATGTTTCTAGCAAAACTTCTAGTGAATGCTGATTAGATAAGATGCTTCTCAGTGTCTTCAAAGTTTCTTCTGTTTTTTTTTCGAGGAGTTTTCTGGATCTCTCCAACAGTCTTATTTCTAATTTAATCACTAATCAATCAAATTTCACCAAGATGCTAATTAAATTTTTTTTTTACAATTAATTGGTCACTGGGGTTTTATTTATTTATTTTAACACATAGATACTGGTACAAGGAGCCGCCCGGAGCCTCCGACCTGAAGGTCTGATCCACAAGGCAGTGGAGCATCGTAAGGTAATGCAACCCCATGGTAGTCGGTGACCAACGATTGGTTCATACGCCATTTGTTGCTTCAGGATCCTGGAGCCCATGTACACCATTGGTTTTAAATCAGGGTTTTCCAACTCCCCTAGGTGGACTCTCCATGTCCATTAACACGGTTAAAGCTCCGGACATTCGCTTTTCACCCTCTCAATTTCGTAAACGGCACCCTCGCCACGAGAAGGCAATGAGTAGGACTTCCCTGGCAGAGGCTGTATACGCGTGGCCATATGAGAGCATTTGGAGAGGGAGAGCGGACTCTCCCCACTCTCGGCCATACCAGGGCATTTGGGGGCAGTGACTGGGGTAGTGACCAATGCTATATGCATCAAGTCCTTAGTGTTAATCGAATTTTATCAATCAAGTTGTAATGTAGCCACTAGTCTAGATGACTCCTTTCTACTTTAAATGAGTTATTCGATACTATTCATTCTTCTCACTTGTTCATCTTTCTTTTTAAATTTAGTTTACTTGTTAATCATAAAAGATTAGGACAATCTTAAATTAGAAAGAAAGATTAGTTCAACGAAGAGTTCTCTTTTCGGCGAATTCATTTCCAAAGCTGTACAATCGCAAATATATATACTTATTTTTACAGGGTGATAATAATACTGATAATAAACTTCTGTTATACATGGTGAGAGTGAGATTAAATAAACAAAGGTATTAGAAAATTTTTTTAAAAACAAGGAAACTTTAATAATCGTTTGATAGTTAATGGCTTAAGTATTCATCGATAAGGATGGCTCAGCATGATAAAATAAAATGTTGAAACAGAGTTGAAATGTAATCGGAATGATCGTGGAAATAAAAACAAACCGGTTGGGGGTAGAAGATTTGAAGGGAAGATGGAAGGTGAAGCAGGTGGCTGTAAGGGGACAAGAGTATGGAAAAAGAGAAAAAAAGATTTAATACATTAAGACCATGGTAGAAGAAGAAGTTGTACCTGTCTCTTTTGTACACATAATTCTGGTTTTTCAAAATGTATGGCTATTGCCTCGTCCCATCAGGTTCCGAACATGAGGAAGAGCGACAACAAATCAGATCTAGGTTAAGAAAAAGTCTAAGAAACGACCGTGAGCAGTGGTGGGCAAAGAAAGCAAAAGAGATGGAAAAGGCGGCGACTATAGGGAACACAAGACAGCTTTACAGACTAATAAAAGAAACTGGAATTAATAAGTCAAGTGTAAGTGAGATTATATCGGAAAAAGACGATACACTCATCTGCTCCCAGTCCAGGCGTTTAGAACGATGGGCGGAACATTTCAGAGAACAGTTCAGCTGGCCTTCAGCTACTCTACAACTACCCTCCATTCCCAGACAGTGTGAATGGAACATTGAAGTAGGTCCCCCAACTCTAACAGAAGTTCAAAAGGCTATAGTTAATCTGAAACGAGGAAGGGCAGCTGGTCCAGATGGATTGGCTCCAGAAGTCTTTAAGGATGGTGGTCCAATTTTAGCGATTAGGTTGACTAATATTTTAGCTAAGTTCTGGGAGTTAGACGTTATTCCATCTAACTGGTCACAATCACTTATCGTCCCAATATATAAGAAAGGGTCAAAATCATCCTGTGACAACCACAGAGGGATTAGTTTAACTAATAAAATATCTAAAATACTAGCCTCGATAATTATCAGACGCCTAACTAAGACTCGTGAACTGCAAACACGAGAGAACCAAGCTGGCTTTAGACCTGGTCGTGGCTGCATCGACCACATATTCACCATTCGTCAGATTCTAGAACACAGGCATACTTATCGGCGTCCGACAATGGTGGTCTTTCTTGACTTAAAAGCAGCATTTGACTCTGTAGACCGCGAGATTCTGTGGCAGTGTCTGTCATTGAAAGGCGTACCTCAGAAGTACATAAACCTTGTGAAGGCTCTTTACTCGAACACTACTAGTCGAGTCAGGGCTTATGGCGAACTGTCATCTACTTTTGCAACCTCAAGTGGTGTCCGTCAAGGCTGCCCACTTTCTCCATTTTTGTTTAACTTCATCATAGATCTACTGATGGAAATAACATTCTCGTCGACTGAGTTCTCGGGTATTGATCTCCATCCAGGAGGTCCACTTATCGACTTAGAATACGCAGATGACATAGTCCTGTTTTGTGGAGACGCTGACAAAATGCAGAGTCTTCTGGTAGCACTAAGCAACAATGCCAAAATGTTTGGAATGCGCTTCTCTCCCTCTAAATGCAAGTTGTTGCCTCAGGACTGGTCTG